GATCCAAGTTAGTCGATTCATGTGTACACTTTGTCTTATTTGTGATGGTCTCAACACTTTTGATGACCAAGACAATCGAGATGACTAACATGACCACGACTTAAAACTCTTATAAAATGGATTACTTAACTAATAAAGAGAATAAACAAGATTAAGCGACTAACTCGTCATCATTAGTCATATTATTTAATTGGTAAATTAGGAACTAAAGTTTAACAGATTCAAAATCACTATGATTAATATAAATAGTTACACAAATTGAGATAAAACTAATGCTTATTTATTACTTATCTAAATATTTGAATACATCCTAAATTCTAACTTCAGTGTCAGTGTCAGGATGTCTTTTACATGTACCTTACCCCTCATAATTATCTACAAGAAAAAAGTTCATAGAGTCTAACGTTAGAGATCCACTAGTGTACTATTGAACAAATGCAAATTTTAGGATTAAATTTAAAAACCAATTCAATTTAATTCAAAACAAACTTGATTATATTTATGAAATTAATATAATTTGTATAATTAGATATTTTCAAAAATTCTATTATTTTTATCTGGTAGTCATATTACCTAAATTACTTCTTATTATTGTGTTGTTTTCGTAAATTTATTAAACTATATAAATAGATAGTTATGAAATTTTCATATCAATCTATTATAATACTAAAACATGTAATTTAGTGCAGTGTTATGATTTATTCTAACACTAAATAAGTTAGAGGTTATTTTTTTGAAAAGTCTATTTATTTATTTTTTTTAAATATATTATTTTTAATTTATTTTAAAGTAAATTATAAGATAAACCTATTTAAGTAATAATAATTTATTAAATTTAATGTAATATTCTTAGATTATAGATTTATTAATATATTTAAAAATAACTCATTTTAAAGATTCATGTTTAGAGTTAAGTTTACTAGAGTGTGTTTGTTTTAATGATTAAAAGCTTAAAATATTCGTTGGATTAATTCAAAATTAAAGATTCATGAATTGAATTGAAAGTGCATAAAAAATTCTGTAAATATAAAAAAATGAGCACTTACTTAGTATGTTTAAAACATGTTATTACAAAATATTATTATTTATTAGGAGTATTGATCCCTTAATTTAATTTAATTTTTAGAAAATTACGTAGTTAAATCTAACATAATCACGCAAGGTAAGTTTATATGTATATTTTATAGGCTTAGATATCTTATAAAACTAAAAACACCATATAAATTTTGTTTACAGATCTGGAGTCCGGACAAGAAACACCGCTGCTTCAGTGAGTGTCACCTGCTACCGACGTTCGTAGAGGCGGCTCACTAAATTTTATATTTCTATTTTCTTATAATGATATATTCTTTGTTTTCCGAACGGTAGTTATTCGTGGTTCGTTCAGTTCATCCCCGGATTCAATTTTAAAAGTCAATAACGTGACGCTCTACTCAGAAAACTTAGATCAACTACAAAATTAATTAAGATCCAACCATCCCCCATTATTATTGTATACACTATGCTGCTGCACATTAGTTTAAATAATCGTTAGCAAGTGACGTTAGCATTAGCACAATATCACTATGAAGACCCTCTTCAGTTAATACTTTCACCTGTAGGCTGTAGCTGTAGGTATAAATATTAGTTTATACATATAAAAGTAGGAGTATTTTCAACTGATGAAGAGAATAATCTTTTTCATAGAAAACCATAGCTATACTAAATTAATTGACTGAAAAAGAAATGGACTAAAAGAAAGATCCAACAAATGAATGCACAACAAGTGCTGTTTCTTTCACGTTTCTCATGCCTTTCTTCAACGTTTTAAATTCATCTTTCAGATCCATGAATTCTCTTTGGAGATTACTTAAATCATAATTAATGACCTTTAATTAGTTTAGTTTGTTTCTTGGGAAGGTAGTGGTAGTACATTGAAGAAGCTGAGGATGGTGGCAAAGCATACGCAACGTAGGCAAGAGCTTCCTCCATATTTACCTCCCGTACGCAAAGGACACAAATTCCTTCATCTTATCCAAGACTTCATGTTAATTGTATTCAAAGGCAAATTAACATTATTTTGTCTAAATATATATGTTATTTATTTATGGAAGAAACTCGTTTTTCATTCTCCAAAATAATATTGAGCAAGGTAAAGCAGATTAATTATGTATAATATGCAAATTAACATCCACTAATTAATTCATTAATTCAACAAGGTTATCCTTCAAGTTAATTTTGTCATGTTCATGTATACCCTCTCTTCTAAAAAAAATGTATATATACCTTCATGTAAATCCGCATGATAAGGAATATTATACACGTTGCTTTCGAAAGTTTCTTCCTTTAAATACATCAGCAAGCTTTATAATGGAACCCATTTTTATTTATTTATTTGTTTATCATTTTATTCTCAAACAAAAGAAAGGAAACAAAAATAAGAAAAAGAAAGCAGAAAAAAAAATCTCGTCACCAAAAGATTGCTTCGTTTTCCCCGGCCTAAAAAGTTTATTTTCAGATGCTTCTTTTTTTTATTTTTTATTTATCGGCAAACAAGTAACTTTTTTTATATAACATGGTACAGGGTACCATAAACTCATATATAGATGCTCTGGTTTCTTTGGTCTCTGCGTTGTACTATCTTACTAAGTGAGCATCTATTGAGTTCTCACTTGGATTTTGAATAAACTTTTCTGCTTATCAGAAAGAAAAAAAAAAGTTTGGATGAGATTTATTTTGTTTAATTTTTAGGAGGATTAGTGTCAAATGTCAACCCTTAAAAGCCTTCTTCATTCGAATTGAAAGGTACACATATAGAGAAAGTGCTTTAAATTAATATCAAGTTATATTTACATGCACTATTATAAATTACAATATATATGACAATCATGAATTATTGTAAGGATTTAATTAGTTGTATGAATTTTCTCATTTCTATTATTTTAATTTAAACTTGCTTAATTAAAATTGAGGAACAAAATTCGTTAGCATTTTAAAACAATGTGAAGTATCTCTCTCAATCTCCTTTCCTTAGCTCAAAAGTTTTCAAAAGAATACAAAAAAAGAGGTTTATTTTTCTGTGAAAAGCAGTAGTAATTTGCACTCATGACTTCTTCCACAAGAAACGATTGAGGACCTTCCACAATAGAATTAATCTGCATGCAAATTTACTTGTATATGTAGTATAAAATATGCGAAGAGCGTGTTTGGAGGAACCGACTTTGACAACACAACACGCATTAGCATAGAATTCACACTCCTTCAAGCCACAAGTTATTAATTGAAGCCCATCGTCATCTGCCACTGCCTTGTAACATATCCACATAACGCGTGAGGTTACTTTCTCATCCAAAAGTATGGAAAATTATAGTTGCTCACAACTCAATTAACGTAGCTTAGTTGAATGCATAATTAGTACACTGTACCACACGTTGAAGCATTCCCCACACGTCTACTCTTGCCAGATACATACAACTCGGTCATCAGATAACTCCTAAATTACAACTTATTCCACTCATTCCTTCCTAAAGTGTTAATTAATAACGTACCCACCCAGAGTCATGACCTGGCTACAATTGGTTACTTTTTAGTCAAATACATTACTATATTAATTTGTTTTAAATGATTTTTTTTTTTACCGATCTGTAAGAATAAAATAAAATGAGAAGATCGATATGTGGTTTTAATTTCCACTGACTTTTTAAATTAAAAAAAGTAAACAAGTGTTTGGATCTTTGATATTTCATACGTACCTTAATTTTAATTATAAAAGAATTAGAAAGTGTTTCAGTGGAGCTTAGGGGTACTAAAAAGGGTGTGGTGAAAATGTACATATGTTGTCTGATACAAGATTCTGGATAGTGGATACGTACAAAGACTTGTTATTAATTAGTGGGTGGATAGATTTGCCAACCCAATCACAAGTGTCCTTAGCCACAAAATAAAGCGGTTGCAAATTTGGTATAATGATACCAACATGTGCATTAAAGGCAGGAACCACATGGGGAGGGTTTCGGTTCAACCCACCTTACCCATTGCCCTAACATCTAATTGTGTCTACCCTTTCATTAGCACTTCTTTATCTATTATTAATTGTCCCTAAAATCTTTATGCGAGAGATACAGATTACAGAGGACTCGCAACGGATTAATTAGAGAGAAAGAGAAAATATTAGTAACAATTAGTGAGCCATTGAAATTTCAATTCAATTCATTAATGAATACAGTTCATTTAAGCTGTCAAAATGACCTAAACAAAAACAATTAAGCAAGAAAGTAATTTGGTCCCTGCTGTCCCTGCGTTGTTCACGCGGCATGCAGTGGATGTTTTTGTGCCCAAGTAAAACCCCACCTTGTTGATTACACTATTTTAGTGGAGAAGACCTTGACTCAATCCATCCTTAAGTGGTCAATTAATTTGGGTCTCCATACTGTACCCCCCACCATTAATAGACTTCACCCATATATTATATCTTTTGTAACAGTGGTTATTTGGTATTACATTCGACTCTCTTTTAGGGTGCAAATTTGTAATATAATCATAATCCATTCTAATCAAATTGGAAAATTAAAAAACCAGCGTATCATTAATTATGTAGAAAATGTGAAAATTTGTAATAAGTTTAGACATGTGTATTATACCTTTTTCAGTTATTCACACCTTTACCATATTTAATGCAATCTAAATTTAATTTTCCCTTATTTTGTTTTTCATTTTCCTTTTGAAGCAGATATATTCTGCAATTTGTGTACTTGAAGTGAAATCAATTTAAAGAAGAACCTTATTGATTTTCTCATTACTCAACGTAAAGACGATCAGTAATAGAGACAATAAAGTTGAATTAGGTAAAAATTATATATATTTAATTTTCTTCTACCTTTGTAATTAAAACAAGGAATACACAAAAAAGAAAGAAAAACTTGAATATATATATCTCTAAATTCTAATGAATATTTGAATGGTTGATGAATTTAAAGATAATATGTAAATTAAATGGATGCAGCAGTACTGAAGAAGTGAAGTAAATATATAATGGAGACTGAGACATATTTATTCGGGCATAAATAAATATTACTGAGAAAAGAAATTGTTAGATTGAATGGATGACAAAGAAGAGTCCAAAAGCAATGAACAAATTTTGTCTGTACAGATGAGCAGAGCAGAAACAAAATCCGAACCTAATCAGTAATCCCAATCCCCCTAACCCAAAAAAAAAAAGAAAAAGAAAAAAAAAGCAAAGTGGGTGCGATTCATATTCACGATAACAACAAATCCAATAAAATTATAATAAATATTTAATATTGGGCGAACAAATGAAGCTACGGCGTTTCGTCATGAGCGTCTTCTGAAAGAAACAAACGCGACCTCTTGGCGGTTACCGGCAAGGGGCTTTCCACCTCTTGGTCAGCGTTCTTCTTCCCCAAGTCCAACCCCACCGGCGCCCAGAACTCCGTCAGCGGCGCCGGCAAGTTCAGGTCAAACCCGCGGAGGGTGTGAGAGGAGGAGGCAGCACCGCCGTCGGAGGAAGTGACGCCGCTGCTGTGGGTGTTTCCGCCGTCGTAGGGGCGGC